TAATGCACATTGACTTGACCCCATGAAACACTTTCTGCAAAGTGCTTAACCTCACTGTCACATGATTTCCTAATGGAGTTTATTATTTATTCCTCATCTGTTTTTTATGACATTGCAGGAGGACCAATCAGTGACATTTTAAATTATTTGACAGAAAGTACAGTAAACAAATAGAAACTGGTATTACCACAGTTTTAAGCCAATATTTTTCTATACTATGGTTTATATTCTCCACATTCCTAAAGTCACAAAACGCCCCTTCTGCATATCACTAAACTGGTTTTGCTTTCCTGACAAAAGGGCTTTCATTTGGTTTGTATCTGCTTAGATTTTTTCATTTCCAATGCCTCTTTTCTAAACAATAGGAAGTACCTGATTTTTCTTATCTGGTATACATAGCTTCCATTTGATGAATTGTTTGGCTGGTTTTCTTTTAGGCAAATAAGCAAATTAATTTACACAAACTATTAATACCAATTATTAATGCTTTTCATTTTGTTGGTTTCAGCAATCTGTGCATGACAAACACTGCAGCAAAATGGAAATTGATTTCACTAGCTTTGGTAACACTGCAGTGTTTTGTAACCTTTGCAAGGATGTTTATTTGAAAAGCTGGGTTTAATTATCCTTCTTTTGCCTGCATCTCAAGAGGCTGATGGGTACCAATGCACTTGACAGTTAAAAGTGAATTCATCTCAAGTGTTCCTACATTGTCCTTGGTGTTTGTCACACAAGGAGACTCTAACATACCCATCAGGAAACATCAGCCTCACTTACTTGAAGTTTAGATTGGTATATGGCTGTGTTGCTTAGGTTTAGTCAATTTGACACAAGTTAGAGTCATCTAGGAAGATGGAATTCAATTGAGAAAATGTGTCTATCAGATTGCCTGTAGGCAAGTTGGTAAGAGCATTTTCTTGATTGATGATTGATGTGGGAGGGCCCAGGTTCTGGTAGGTGGTACCACTCCTGGGAAGGTGGTCCTGGGAGATATAAGAAAGATAATTGAACGTGAGCCTAGAGAGCAAGCCAGTAAGTGGTGTTCCTCCATGGTCTCGGCTTCAATTCCTGCCTCCAGGTTCCTGCCTTGAGTTCTTGCCCTGATTTCCCCTTCACAATAAACTATAAGCTGCAAAGAGAAGTAAACCCTTTTATCTCCAGGTTGCTTTTATGACCAAACAGCCCACAGGGTTTCAGGGGGGTTATAAAATATGAATGTTTGGTGTTCAACATAACGCAGTACCTTTACTTATGACTCTCCAATTATACCTCCTGTTGGTGTCTTCTCGCTTTCTCCCTCTTAGGAACTGGCTTATTGACATTGTCTGTGCTTTTTTATACCCAGAGGTATAAATCCTCAATAACTGTTGCTGTCTGGTGATAGTCAAGTCTTTATATTGTTTCTGCCAATTGCACAATTTTCTCTGTGCTTTCTTATGCTTGAGCATGCACAGGTTTGAGTTTCACACAGGCTGCCATGCAGCCTTGATCTTGGCTTTCCTGGGCCCAAGGTATTCTGGTCACATAGAGCAGGGCAGCATGGCTCACAGACATCTGAGATTGGGTCACTCATGTTTCCCCCTTGCTTGGACTTGAGGTAGGATAGTTCCCTTAGTAGTGACCACAGATGGAGGAGTGGGCTGACAACTGCAATTAGCTGGTACCCCAAACAGTATGTGAGAATATCCCTTTAAAGGTCTTCTAAAGCCAAAATGTAGCTATATGGGGATATGTTTCTCTCTTGGTCTCCTCTAATGCTTCCAAAATCCAACTCACACCAGCACCATTCTTTTTTTCAGCAGCACATTTATTTCAATAAACATGACCATAGCAATCACCCTGTGTCTTGGAACATTGAAGGCTAGTTCTGGTGGGAGACACTCTTTGTCCCTGTGTCCTAGGAAGGGGGATTATGTTTATAGAAGAAGAAAGTTCACAAGTGAAAGAGGGGACAGCCTGTCACGTTTGAAGTTCCTTGGAGCTGACTCTTCCATTAACTGTTCTTAGTTTTCAAATCAACACTCAGAGACAGAACACGGCAGGAGGCTCCAACCCAGGTTACCATGGCTGGGGTAGGAATTAGAATGTGTGACTTTTTTTTTTATATGTGTAACATCTAATTAAGTCACAGGGAAGTGAAGTCCACCCTGAGTGCCTCTGAGCTGTAACTCTGGCAGTTTTAGCTGCTCTAATAATTGATGGACCATTCATTGATTGGTCTCTCCAAGCATCCTCACTGAACCAGCAGACAGATGTGGATCTGGTATCAAAAAATTATGTTCCAGATATCCTAATGTTGCATTTCTAATTTCCTGCTGATCTTGCTGAATGATCAGGCTATGCAGCAGAGGCTAAACTGCTTGAATTTGCCTGAAGAAAGAATATTAAAGTAAGGAATAAACAAGATAGGCTTTATTTGGTCAATATTCAATTATATCTTTCTTCTTTATCATGACTTTTTTTAGGTGACGAAGTTGCATTTCTTTAACATTCATGTAAGATTTATCTTTCCTGAGGGTACGTTTCTGCGAAATGCTTGAGATGGCAAGATGGCTAGATTTTTAAAACAAAGCCACAGGGGTAAAGCTGTTTAGTAAAATGATAGAAATAGCAAAACCAGAATCTGATTAAAAAATGCAAGTATGCTTTAGAAAACCTTCCGAGTGGAGTCCTAGGAGACAGCCTAAATTTGAGAAGGCTACCTACTCTTTTTATTTTTTAACCACAAATTACCTAAGCAGCAATCCTTACATTGGGTGAATGTGATGGCTTCTTTCTGTCCCCTGCTGGAACATTACAAGATCTCCATGTCACTGGCCATGTGTTATGCCTGGCTGGGCACCCTCATGTCCTGGCTCTGCTCTCCTTTACAAGGCAGGAGGGTCCTCCCTGACCTTTACATTTGCCAGTGGGGTTGGGGAGGGTGACAAGTTCAAGTGGAGGTCGCACATAATATCAGTTTTCTGGGTCATTTGATTTATTTAAGTACCTGCAATGCCAAGGCCCCTGGGCATCCATCCAACCAACCGCTTATGTTTCCATAAATAATGTCAGCTCTGGGACTCAGCTAAATTAGGCCAAGGGCTGGATACGGGGCTTCCTCTCATATCCCATGAAGGTCATGCCATTCAACCTATGAGTATACAGGAGCTCTTTGAGACCAGCACCCCAAGATCAAAATTTCTGATCAATCTTGTTTGGTGTTCCCTTCTAGTGCATCTCATCAACCTTCACGCAGGTTTTATTTAGGCTAGTGTAGATAGGGGTCCTCAAAAACACATGAGGAAGGCTTAGAACCTAACCCATGTTGGTTAAGCCTAACAGATTTATATTATTCTGCAAATTACACCATACTGGTTCTTCATTGGCAAAAAAAAATTGGGAGAATGATGAGTTGGGTTTGCATATGTTCAAATCCAGGGCTGGAGAGACAGCTCAGCAGCTAGGAGCATATGCTTTTCTTTCAGGGGACCCAATTTTGTTTCCTAGTGTCTACATTGGGCAGCTCATAACCACCTGTAATTTCGGCTTCAGGGAATCTTATGCTTTCTTCTGGCTTCCATGGTCACTGTCACACACATGCACATACCCATACTGAGACACAAATACATATACACAGAATTAAAAACAAAATAAATCTTTAAGAAGTAAAATTCTTAAAACCTACTCCTGGACTGTAATGATTAAAGTAGTCAGGGTAGTTAAGATGCACAATTTATTAACTTTGATCATTGCAATACACCAGAACAGTAAACAATAAATAGCCTTTGCTCCTTCTACCAAGTATCTTGGAGATGAGAAGCATCTGGGTAGTACTTGCAATGGGCACTCACGAGAGGGAGTCACTTCTGGCTAGTCCATGACTCTGGTGGACCTATGATGCCTCAGCACCATGTAGAACAGGCTCCCACTGTAAAGACTGAGGATGCCATGAAATGTTCCTGAAGTGAGAGGACCTGGACACCAAGGACCAACTAATGAGTCTAGTTACTCTGGATCTTCCCTCAAAGAGCTGGTTCTGTGGGAACTGGTTCCCTGTTGCTTTCTATTCTGCCTCTTCCCCCTTTTAACCAGTTTTGTGTGTGTGTGTGTGTGTGTGTGTGTGTGTGTGTGTGTGACAAAAGAGAGAGAGACAGAGAAAGATAGAGACAGACAGAGAGAGAGAGACAGAGAGAGGGAAGGAGAGAGAGACAGAGAAAGATAGAGACAGAGAGAGAGACAGAGAGGGAGGGAGGGAGGGAGGGGAAGAGAGACAGAGAGAGAGAGTGAGAGAGAGAGAGAGAGAGAGAGAGAGAGAGAGAGAGAGAGAGAGAGAGAGAGAGAGAGAGAGAGAGAGAGAGAGAACAGGTAGAGGCCAGAGGATAACTTTCTAAAGTCAGTCCTGGAAATCAAACTCAGGTCGTCAGATGCGGCAGCAATGCACCTTTGCTCACTGAAACTTCTTGTGAGCCCAAGAGAAGAGTTCTCTTTTTTGAAAGATTTATTAATTTATTAACTATGTATGCAGGTCAGAAGAGGGCACCATTTCGAATTACGGATGGTTGTGAGTCACCATGTAGTTGCTGGGAACTGAACTTGGGACCCCTGGAAGAGCAGCCAGTGCTCTCAAGTGCTGAGCCATCTCTCCAGCCCATGAGAAGAGTTCTTAGTCTTTGATTTCTTTGCTCATTTGAAGATATTACAACTGTTGTTATAGCTGTACCCCCTAGTTTGTCCTCTGTTTCAGGCCTTAAACACATTCATTTTTTTTCCAGGCCTCCCTATTGTGCCTGAAAAGATCAGTGGGTCTGAAGAATGTTTAGTCTTGGCTCCCTAGCTATCTGGGACAGGTTCTTTCCCTCACTGTGTGCGCTGGCCCTGAAGGGAAGTCCAGTCTTTTCTTCTAGTCCCCAAGCCTGACGTTCTTTTCCTTCTTTGGGTAAATGGCATTGTTCCAAGACAAACCTCCATCTCTTCATAGAGTTCTGCATCTCAGAGTAATGTGCTGGAGAAAAAGTATGCTGTAGTCAACTGCACCCACTTCCTAGACCATCCTTACACCTTCTTCCATGTGGAATGCTTTCCTCTTTCCTGAGTCAAGATGTAAGACTATGAGCAAGCCCAGGAACTCAGGGTGAGCATGAGGATGTGTCATCAATAAGAGGTGAGATGTGCCCTTGAGGGAATATACAAAGAGGAAATCACGAAAGAAGCTAGAGAAGCTGATAGATAAAAGGGGAGGAAAGACACGGAGGATAAGAGGCAGGGGTGGGGAGAGAGATTGGGGGAGGGAGGCAAAGAGAGCAAGCATGTCCTTTACTATGTACTATCTTTACTGTGACGAGAAAATAGGAGTCATATGTAAAAAGAAATCGCACCATTAACAAAGGGAATCCACGAAGTTCTATAGCTGCAAAGGGTCACACAGGGAAGATAAAAGGATCTGCAGGATATGATAGGGCACAGGAAGGAGTCTACCACTGCTACTCTCTGGGCAGATCAGCATGTCATAGGCAAAATAGTCAGTGTAATTTCCCTTTAAGATTTCTGCTGCAATGATTTCTACAAATGTAGTATATTACAAGGCACATTTCCCTTTTAAAATGTACATTTGATTACCAGTGCCCCCACTCTCCTTGAGCTGAGGGTCTCTTTGTTACCTTTTTGGTTATTGTTCTCTATTAATGTACCCAGGAAAGATGCTGGAATTTTTCACAGCCATTCAAAAACAGCAGTCCCAGAAGTGGTGTAACTGGTGCCAGGCTCAGAGCTATTTCCTCGATGCTCCTAAGTGATTGTGTCAAGGCAGGGTATGCTCAGGTTCATGTCACCGACGCCATCAGCCAACACCCCAGTGTCTAGAACATGAACAGCCTTCTGATCTAGTCTAGTCCCTGATACATTATTGTGAATCAATAAATTTTCTTCATTTCCTTTGTCCTAAAAGCTTTGAACTCTTTTTCAGGACAGTGCTGTTCCAAGCTTAGTTGAATGAGTGAGTCTAGCCATTTTATTATTCGTGGCATTTATTAACTCTTCTTTTCATGAGAAGCAGAATAGAAAATATGGACAATAATTCTGTCATGGATTCGAGATCCAAAGAGCTACAGTGTCAGTTCCCTTGCCAGACTTCAGTGAATATCTATCATCCTTCGCCACCCACATTAATTCACTCAACACATCCTTCAGTGCCTGTTATGAGAACACAAAGCAAGGTTTTAATGACCTTTATGTCCCAATCAGTGTAGGCATCAAAATGCATACTTGTCAAATGGTCCCCGGGAAGGACACCTAACATTACATGTGTGACTGCTTTCAGCTTCAGAAGGTCATTTGTGGTGAATGTGTATGGAATGGTTATCTTATGACACATTTGCATAATGAAGGGAGTTTCCTTTTCAAGTAATGTTATAGTTTACTTGTGTAGTTTCAGGCATGAAGGAGGTGGGAGCTGGTAAACTGAGTTTAAATCCAACCATCACATCCTTTTTCCATATCACTCCGTATGGTCCAGTCGTGATGCATACAGGTAGTCTATCCACTGTATTTATAAGCCACATTTACATGCAATAATTCTACCCAAAATGGCCTCTTTATTCAAGGTCCTGTTTTGTTCATGAGCAAACTCAGTTCATCCTAACTGACAATGAGGTTAATTTCATCCCTATTTGTTTCAGCATTTTCAAAAGTCAGACTTCCTTTTCATCTTCTGCCTTTCTGATGCTTCTGGTTAGAAATGTTTTAGTTTCATCTTTCCTTCTAAAGCCCTTTCTCAAGGACTACTTTCTATGTTTACTTGGAACAAATATCTCCACCTATGTATTTGGAAAGTTATTGTATTAACCAGGGTTAGGGTTTGTTGGTGAACTTCTAAGCTGGATAAATATATGACATGATTTTCACAAAAAATATTTTGGCAGATTAGATATTGCCATCGAGGTGGAGTTTATCATCCACCTACCCATATCTGTGTCACAGACCTTCAGAAGAATTGCAGAGAGCCTTCACAAATCATCTTCCTGCCAGAAAGCTTTGAGGTGAAGGAACTAAATATTCAGGTCTATAACTCTAGCACTGAATCCTCACCTTCTAGGAGACCTTCAAGATTTGCTCTATTGTGTTTCATCCCTATTTATTTCAGAATTTCTCAAAAGTCCCGCTCTCTTTTCAGGTATCCATCATCTCCTGCCTTTCTTCTGCCTGCTGGTTGGAAATTATTTAGTTTCATCTTTCCTTCTAACGCCCTTTCTCTGATCTAGCTTGCCTTTTGGTTCATGGGCATTAGGCCCTCCCTGAGCCAAATCATCTATTTGATGGCCCTATTCTAGTTAGTTGTATGACCTCAACTGCAAATAACCCCTCATATTTCTAGCATAAAGTTTTCTTTGCTAGAAAATTTCCCAAGTTGAAACTTCTAAGTTACAAAAAGATTTTAAGTACATGTGTGTATGTGCAAGCATACACACAAGTGTGGGTGTAGGTCAGAAGAGGGTGTTTGATCACCTGAAGTTAGAGTAACAGGTAGTTGGGAGCCACCTAATGTGGGCACAGGGAACTGAACTCCATCTAATCTTAGAGCTGTAACTAATGAGTTAGCCCATCCCCAAACTCTGTTTTAACTCACACCCTTTGATGGCTCCTGACTCTATACCAGGCTCACTGATGCACCCTCCTTCACCGCCACGAGCCTTCAAACTCATCATGACCTTCTTCAGTGGACACAACACTTTCTCGGTGATAGGTTCCTTTGTGTCTTCAATTTCCTCATCTATTTGTTTCCATCACTTAGTGAGATTCAGGTTCACTCTACGTGCCTTGCAACTCTCCCTAGTCTGGCAAACCTTCCATTCATGTCATGCAGCATAATGAGGAAGTCATGAAAACAGGTTTATATAAGAATACAAAAGAAGAGGAATCTAAAATGGCTGAAAGACACTTAAGAAAGTGCTCAATGTCCTTACCCATTAGGGAAATGCAACTCAAAATAACTTTGAGATTCCATCTTACACAGAGCAGAATGGTTAAAATCAAAATCACCAATGATGGTTTATGCTGGAGAGGATGTGGAGAAAGGGGAACACTCTTCCACTCCTGGTGGGAGTGCAAACTCGTACAGCCATGGTGGTTCCTCAGGAAAATGGCAATCAGTCTACCTCAAGACCCAACAATTAGGCATATACCCAAAGGATGCACACTCATACAGCAAGGACATATGTTCAACTCTGTTCATAGCAGCATTGTTTGTAATAGTCAAAACCTGGAAGCAACCTAGATGCCCCTCAACCAAAGGATGGATGGAGAAAATGTGGTACATTTACACAATGGAGTATTACTCAGCAGGAAAAAAAAACAATGAAATCTTGAAATCCTCAGGCAAATGCATGGAACTGGAAGAAAATATCCTGAGTGAGGCAACCCAGTCACAGAAAGACAAGCATGGTATGTACTCACTCATATATGGATATTATACATAGAGCAAAGGACTATCAGCCTACAATCAACACCACCAGAGAAACTAGGGAACAAGGGGGACTCCAAAAGAAGAACATATGGTCCCCTGAAGAAGGGGAGGGGCAAGAACCCCTGAGCAAATTGGGAGCACAGGGAGGGGATGTGGGAAGGAGAGAGTAGGAGAAGGGGGGGTGGAGAGCAGGAGGGATCAGGAGGACTGAGACAGGGAGGAATAGAGGAGAGCAAGAAAAGAGATGTCTTGATAGAGGGAGCCAATATAGTTTTGAAAGATGTCTGGCACTGGAGAAATGTTTGGGGATCCACAGGGATGATCCCAACTAAGAATTCAGGCAGTGGTGGAGAGGCTGCCCTTGATGCCCTTCCCCTATATGAAATTGATGAATACCTTGGTTGCCATTCCTAGAGCCTTCATCCAGTAGCTGATCAAAGCAGAAGCAGGCACCCACAGCTAAACACTGAGCCATACTCCTGAATCCAGTTGTGGAGAGGGAGGAGGGATGAGCAAAGGAGTCAAGACCCTGCTGGAGAAATCCACAGAAACGGTGGCCCTGACCTAGTGAGAGCACGAAGACCCTAGTCTTACAGCTGGGGAACCAGTGTTGAACTGAACCAAGCCCTCTGAATGTGGGTGCCAGCTGGGAGGCCTAGGCAGTCTATTGGACCTCTAACAGTAGAGTCAGTGTTTATCCTAAGTGCACAAATGGACTTTGGGAGCCCAATCCCTATGGAGGGATACTATTAGAGTCCAGATACACAAAAGAGGGCCTAGACTCTCCCCCAGATGATGTGATGAACTTTGATGGCCCCCCCGTGGAGGGCCTCACTATCCTTGGGGAGTGGGCCAGGGGTGGGATGGGGTGGTCAGTGGAAAGCATGGGAGGAAGGGAGAACAAGGGAATTGGAGGACTGATATATGAAATAAGATTGTTTCTGACATAAAACATTATGAAAAAAGAATACCAGTTACTGATCATTCCCTAATACTGAATTTTCCAGCTTTGAAAATTCATTGCTACCTCTGTTTCCATGTATACTCTGTTGAAAACAGGTTTTTATTTCCTCCCCGCCCCAAGTCAACTGTTACATAGCAGAGTTCTGAAATGTCCCTACTATAGAATCTGAAAGCTGGTCTTCATCTGTACCCAGCATCCTATTTTCTTCCCTCTCACTGTAGATTTACTTAACTTGAATCTCTTGTTTTTTGCCAGGTACCACTTCTCCCATATTCTGGACCTACTATCTCTCCTTCTGCACCACAGAAAACCTAAAACTCTTGAGCTGAAAAGCATATTAACTGAAGTGAAAATTTCACTTAATAGCAAATTGGAGATGACAGGATGGTGGCTTAGTGGAACTGAAGGCAGCTAGGTAAAAAATTTATTATATCTAGAATTCAAATAACAAATATTCATGGAAATGACCAAAGGGAAATTTCAAGTCATCTGATTTAATAGTTGAGTCCAACAGGATGGTAAACGTGGTGGAAAAAGATTGAAGTATGTGAAATTAATTTCTCAAAGTTGATGAAAATCTTCACTTTAAATACCAATGAAACTCAGTGATTCCCAAAGTGGAAATCACACTCTGGTATATAATCATCAATGTCCTGAGAGCCAAGAATGCATAGACAGTCTTTTTAAAGATAGTATTTTTATTAATAAGTTCAAACATGAGCACTGTATCTGTATCACTATGATCCCTTCCTGCCCCATCAAACTTCCTCTGTGCCCCTTCAAAACTCATGGTCTCTTTTTTCAGTTATTGTTATATGTATAGGCATATATGCATATGTGTATATACAACCTACTGAGTCCATTCAGTGTTGCTCACATGTACCTGTGTCTAGGGCTAACTACTTGACACTGAACATCCTATGTACGAGGTCATCCCTGGAGGAAACTAGTTCTTCCTCTTTCAGCAGCCATTGATCACCAATAGCTCATGAAAATACAAGCTTGAAAGTAGTCAGAGAAGAGTGTCATACTGCACAGAAAATGATGACATGACACTCCTCCAAAGAAATTAAAAATATACATCTCCCCAAACAAATGACACAACCCCCCCCCCTCTGTGTGTGTGTGTGTGTATGTGCATGCGATCAGGCACAAAATACTTTGAGCCTGGAAATATGGAAGAACTTGCCACAGAGAGGTTTATTTTGGCTCATGTTCACTGCCATTTCACACCAGTAGAGAAGCTGTGATGGAGTTCAAGATGGCTCAGGCCGTGGAAACAAAATATTGCAGTATGGCTTGTTCAGTTCTGGGTGGACTGGAATTTGGACAGGTTGTATTTCCAAAGGCTAGCTCCTGGTAGATTATTTCTTATCTGCAGACCCATGTCCCAAAGGTCCATAACCTCCCAAAAGAACAGCCATAGCTGAAGGGCAAAATTTCAAACACAGGAGCCCATGGGGGACAGTTCACACTTAAGGCACAGCCTGTAGGATAGTCGTGTTGTGCACATGAAACAGGGAGCCACTGTTTTAATGCTGCTGTGTAATTATAAATATATAAAAGTTAAAACTAAGCCTTTTTATAAATCATAAGTGGGGAAACTTCTAGAAAGTAAAACTGTACCATAAAAGGAGTTAAAATAATCTGTGTTCTTCAGCTGTCTGTCACTGTGACAAAATACCCGATCAGAACAACTTAAAGAAAAAACGTTTTATTTTGGCTCAGTTTTTCAAAGGTGTCAATCTATGATAGCTCATCTCTGTGGTTTTTTTTTTTTGGTGGTGATATTTTGTTTATCATCTAATAAAGCTCGCCTGAAGATAGAGGCTAGGCAGTGGTGGTACAGACCTTTAATCCCAGCACTCAGGAGACAGAGGCAGAGGGATCTCTGTGAGTTCAAGGAAACCCTGGGCTACATGAGAGTGAATCAGTTTAAAAGAGAAACAGAGCTCACACCTTTAATCCCAGAACTAGAGAGAGGGAGGCAGGAGTGATATGGCTGGGCAAAGAGAGCCCAAGTATACACACGGTCTCTGGACTCCCATAGAACAATGTGAGGTGCACTCTCACCCTGAACTCTTGGGGAAGGGTCTAGGCCCTGCCCTATATGAAATGACAGACTATGGACACCCCCATGGAGGGCCTCACCCTCCCTGGGGGAATGAGGGGATAACGGGGGGGGAAGGGGGGAGGGCACGGGAGGAGGGGAGGGAAAGGGAGAGGGACCTCGTACTGACTTGTGAAGCAACCTTGTTTCTTATCTAAATTTAAAATGGAAAATAAAAAAAATATTAATAAAAAAAATTAAAAAAAAAACAAGGTGGGAGAGGATACAGGAACGCATTGCAGTCTCAGTGAGTCTGAGGAGCAGTGCAGATTGGAGATGCGATCAGAGGACAAGATCACCCCTTGGTCTGAGCATTGGTAGAGGCTGGCCACTTTGCCCCTCTGATCTTCAACTTTAACCCCAATATCTGTCTTTGGGTTTTTATTATTCATGCTACAGCTTTTTCTGCCTTACTGTGAGGCAGACATTATGGCAGGGAGCACATGGTGAGCATAGCAGTTTACCCATGGTGGACAGGAATATGGGGCAGAATTTGAGAATAAAATAAAGCCTACAGTTGCACAGTCATAATGACCTGCTTCCTGCAGGTAGGACCTATCACCATTCTGTAATGACTACACAGATTCATTCACTGATAAGAGTAGATTAGCACCACTACCTGGGACCAAGCCTTCAATCCAACAGCACTTGGGGATATTTATTCTATAAATGTAGATAATGTAGAGGTCAAGAATGGAACAGTCATTGCCAAGGAACTGGGAGAGTAAGAGGGAAGGAAGACAAACAAATGATGGGTTGATGGGTCCAGGGTTGTAGTTGGGAAGGAATAAAAACTTCCAAGGCACAACAACTAACTGTAGTTGACAACAAGTAGTTGCATATTTAAAAATACCTAGGAGTGTTGCATTGCAGGTCCACCAGAGACCACCACACAGACACTTGTGAGTTGAAAAGAAAATCTTTATTACCAGTCAGTGGCTGCATGAGGAACTTTCCCAAATCATGCAGCCCCAAGTCTTTCTGTTCTTTGTCTTGAATGCACAACACCACATCCTGGCTGTTACACTTCAGTTAGCAAGAAACAGAACTACAGAAGTCAAAACGTAAGGCTAGTGCATCTAGGGACTTTCCTGGAACTATTGACTAGGTCTTTGATGGATTAGGTCTTTGTTCCCATTTTGGCAGGTGTTAGGGCCTACATGCTAAGTCTCAAGTTCAGAATGGTACCTCTAATGGGCATCAGTCATGCTAAGGTCTGCAGGCCGGTTACAGGAGAGAGGGTTTTGGATGTTCCAGACAGAATAAAGGGATAAACAATTGCATTGACGTGATCCTTGCATTACTATCCTACAGGTATTTACGATTAGTGTGTACCAATTGATTAAAAAATGAACAAAGGGGGGAAACAAACCAAAAACTTCAAGCTGAGAGAAATGAAACTGGATTCACACAGGAAATGGAAAATATGTGAATACACAGGGACTATAATTCTGTCTTTCAGATTTTCTTAAAAGACATCTAAGTGTTTAAAAAACAAATGGTTACATTTTAAGGGGTGGTGTATACTGTGTGTAAAAATAGCTTTGATGGCAGTGCTGTAAGGCTGACGGGGACCAATAGAAATCCACATTGTGAAGCTTTGCTTTGTTATTGGCAGATGGGAAGAGTGAAAGAGAAGGCAGAAGCATCATCAGAGGCGGCTGTGAAGTGATGGAGCCTAAATGCTCGTGATCTCTGAGGTGGAAAGGCCCTGTGCTGAAGCCCTTTGGTGCTGTGATGTTTCTGAAGGTTTAAAACCATCTGTATACCTTAAAACACACTTTAGAGTGTACTAATGAACAGGGTCGCCATTCTGTCATCCCTTCTCCTTCCTGGCTGCAAATCTTCTCTCTCTGCTGTCAATGAGAATGAAATCTCCCCAAAAGAAACAGCTTTCTTTTCTCTAAATAAAACAAACCAAAACCAAACACAGAAAGGCTATTTGGAAAGCAGACCAAAAAGCAGCAGGGGAGAAAGGTGAGAGGTGACCTTAGGTCTACTCAAGCTTGTATTCCCTCTGGTTTATAAATGAGTGATTGTTTCTATCATTGCATATCTTTGTAACCACTGAATCCAGTTCACATCTGAGACTATTTGATGCATCCATTTTTTCTTAACATTTAATATAAGCTCTTAGTATATAGAACCTGGCTTCTGTGTGTTTGCTTTATGTGCGCCAAGATAATATGTCTAGTAATGATGATTTATTCATTCAATGGATATGTATTGAATGCTTTCCACAAACTAGGCAGTGCTTGCCAGTGTGGGCACATAGTAAATCAAAGCCAAAGTCTATGCTTTGGGGAGTTTGTCTTCTAGTGTAGGAAGCCAGTGAGCAAGCAGACTCACGTGACTAGACATTGCTAGGGAGAAAAACACGGCAGCAAAGGGAAATACAGATCCATGCAGGTGTGTGAATGGTAGAAAGAACACATCTGGGGACAAGTTGGCTGTATTTTCAACTGTTTCTAGAAAATATGGCACGTGAGCAGAGACCATTAAGTTGTTTTCCTTTAAATCTGCTTCACCTTGCATTTATTTTCTTTCCCAGCTGTCATGAGTTAGATCCACTCAGAACAGATGCTGAAACAGATTCAAAGTTACCTGGTGCCAATTACAGAGCAATGCCTGTGAAAGGAAGGAGAGGAAGTTGGGTCAGGCAGAAGAAGTAGAAATGTTGGGTGTGTTGGCTAATCCATGTCTATAATACAGGCCCTTTAAAAAAAACAAACTGCATTTTATCCTAGTGACAGCTTTGTTCAAACAATCCATGTAATCAAGTAAGTCAGTGAGTCACCAATAATTATTTAATATATATTAACTATGAGATAAGCACTCAGATAAGGACTGGGTGGGTAGAGTAAGTATCCTGCCCTCTTCGAGCCTGTGTTCAGTACTGTAGAGGTATACAGGAATAATTTCATCTCAATATGGAAACTGTATTACGAGCAGGCTCATGGTATGACTGGAGGAATATGTTTAAGTCATTTACCTGGAGGTATATTTTGTAGCAGGCTCATTGGTGTCTTCAAATATCAAGAAGTCATCTGGAAGAATAGTGTATTCTGGAGAAGGCAGGGAGTTAGGGAACCCACCATCAGGATCTCTCGTATTTAGGACATCTCTTCCACATAGAACTTTGGGACTCCCCCTGATTATTTTTTAGAACATTTGAGGAGATGATGACTAAATAAAACTTTCTTTCAGGTGAAAGAATAGGAGTTATGTTAGTTGTGCACTTAAGCCCTCCCGCATAGTTACAACTGTTCACAATCATGGATATACACTTTCGCCACACTTAAGGCATATATTTGCTGAAGGGACGATACACAGACACTCAGGAAGCATTTATGTTTATAGAACATTATAATCTATCTGTATTCATATCTGTATTCCATGGATATCTCCAAGTTCTGGAAATGCTAAAGAAATAGTGACAAAAATGATGAAATAAATTGAGTTTGAAATAAACTTGAAGACTGCATTTAGAAAAATCCAGATGCTGTTTTTAAGAAAAATATACAACAACAATATAATTATGATGATTGTTTGTTTTCTATGTGCTTACTTTTTATGACTAGTACAGATACCTGTATAAGGACTCTAGAACATTTTTAAGAAATATTAAAAAAGAAATAGAAATACTAGTTCTACTAACACATTCTCAAAATCACTATTATATCTGTGAACCCTTTCTTCACATTGGATTACCAAGAACAGTTTTACTTATTTAGGGATTTAAAAAGAAATACAGGGAATTGGAGGCAGTTTGGGAGTGAAATTGTTGTTGCTAGGGTTGTTTTGGCCTTGGAATCCTGTCCTTGAGTGCCCTCCAGTCTAACATGTGTCTTCATGAGAACCAGTTGAGCTTCCATATCTTGGAAGCTTGGGGGCAAATCATCCCTTGCTGATGAAATATGTCCTCATTCTAAAGCTACACACCCGTTTCTCAAACAATACGCATGGTTTTGAAGTACGTGGGGTGTGGTGAGTGTAAACATGTGCTGCTGTCTTTTTGAGCGCACATTGAGTAAGAATGACTTCCCTGCATCTGTCTGTTAGCTGGGCCTCTAATCCACTTGGCAGAGGTCCAGAGACTGCTTTGTACCTTTGTGCTTTTCTTAGGGTGACTTGTTTGATGAGAGGTCTTTGTGTGAGGACTGCAGAAGAAATCACAAGGCTGAAGCTGGGCTTGGTGTGAAGAGAGTAGGGTTGAAGACCTAAGAGAGAGCCTGGGAAACTCACCCAGAAGTGTGTGAAGGAAAATCCCTAGGCTTGCCTGGCACAAAACTGGATTGTCATTGCTTTGTTTTGGTAACTTATTGACAATTTATGTCAGGAAGACTCTTTCTCCAGGAAAGCGCTTCAGTTTCTCCCTGGTGACACCATTTCTTTGTTATTACATAAAGAGGAGAGAGGGGGAGTGGGAGAGAGGGAGAAAAAGGAAGAGAGGGACGAGACTGGCAGGGGGAGACCACATACACACACTCACACATTCACACACACACTCACACACACACTCACACACACTCACACTCACTCACACACTCACTCTCACACACTCACACACACGCACACACTCACACACACTCACACTCACTCACACACACTCACTCTCACACACACTCACACACTCACACACACACACACACACACACACACACACACACACACCATGCAGGAGATCATCTCAAAGCAGTCTTGAGATTTTAAAAGGAGTTGGAGTTCATTTTCAGTTGTTATTGGCAGATGCAACATGGCTGAATCCTAATGCAGTTCCAAGCACATCAGCCTAGCTTTGCAAAAATGGCTACAGAAGCCAAAATCTAATATGTAGTTTGTTCTGTTCTCTGGGCACATAGAACACTCCTGGAAAGGAAAGTGCCTCTCCAACACATGCTGAAAATGAGTAGAAGTCACCATAGAGTTATACTATTAATTAAAATAATAATTATAATAATATAACCAATATAATTATGTTAAAACTGATTATATTGTTGGATTCCATTGCCTTCTACACAACAAGGGATTTTGAATATTTCTCAAGCTGAGACAATTATGGCATGAAGGATTACTTCAATTCTCAACAATTTTAGAAATGATGCTTCCACAGGTGTGTGTGGCAAGGGACTCTGACTTCTCCTTAGTGGCACATACCATCATCTCCAATGCAGACACTTATCTATGTGCATCCCATACACCCCACAGGGCCATCTGTCAGGGCCCCCAACTGGACTTTGTGATGCTACCTTCCCTGCTATTTCAGGCACCAGACAAACATATGCAAAAACATCTCTCTTTATTCCTACCCTCTATTGCCAGTTATTTCATTTAGAAGTGAAGATTTAATAATAGAAACACAGTAAGGACTTAAAATGACTTTTCAGGCTAGGTGTCAAAGTCTTAGGTTTTGGGACTTTCATTGTGGTATGAAGAAAAACAGATTCAGTACTGAGCTTTTCCCTTTTGGTGGCAAACAGATTGAACTTGAATGCATTCAATGTTTCCATCAATTCGGGGTGCTTGTTTTCTCTTTCTTTCCTTGCGACACCAGGCCTCACACATGCTAGGCAAGCCTCTATCACTGGGCAGGAGCCATATTGGTACGGCATATTGTGCATGTGCTGCCACTGAAAGAAAAACTAGCATCTGGGAACAAGATGTTGAATTTGTGCTCACAAATTGTTCAGATATCATCCAGAAATGAACATGATATTTTAATTTCATGAACATCTATCTGACTACTTGCCAACCTTTTCAATACCCTTTCAGGACTTTATGAGTCATCATGTAGTTGCTGGGCATTGAACTCAGGATCCCTGGAAAAGCAGTCAGTGCTCTTAATTTCTGAGCCATCTCCCCAGTTCTGGCTGTTCAGGACTTTGAAGCTTTTCATTTCTAAACACATGTCTTAAGATGACATGAAGCATGACTTCACTGGCATGACCTGGCGGATGAAACTAGGAGGAAGTCTTAACATCCTTGTTCTGGAGTGACCAACTTTAAGAAAGTAAATGCTACTCACCTGGGGAACCTAGCTGACAATACACACCTGACTGTGCAGCCCACTGGAGCTCTCGCTGGTCATGGGTCTGCTCTACACACTTGGAGAATGCTAACTCGAAAGGGACAGTTAGAGTTTGGAGTCTGACAATGGGATGTGTGAGGGTTTAAGTTTGGAGGTAGCATGGTTACCACCATCACAGCCTGATGTCCTTTTGCTGTAGCTTTTCTCTCAGGCGTCTTAGATTTCTAAGACCAGCAGGGAACAGTCAGGACTGGGGGCTGAAATTACCGCAGATGTTGAAGCAACAGCTCACCTGTCTTCTTTGCTAACAGAAGCCTTCGGAGGAGGCAATATGTTCAGCGACAGTGAAACCCTACCCCATCTTGCTAGGATTCTGGGAAGGGCTTTTGTCTGGGAGTTGGGTGAGCGTATATCATAGTTTTCCTCAGATTTTGTATATATGTGCATTGCTCTGGTATATTTAACAGTGTCTCGTTTTTCTGTCAAGATCATCTGGTTTGACAATATATTTATTGATCTTCCTAATAAATCATTGAATCATCGAACCACATTTCTTTCTTGTCTGATGATGGAAAGGTAATGTATGAGGCTTAAAGCTGAGGACAATAACGTCACAACTAGGAGGAGAGTGGGTTTGAACTAAGAGATTCCAGAATGACAGCGACTGTGGATTGGGTAGCAAAACTGAAGGTCATTTTTATAGTTTAAGGCACTTGTAGGGGAATTTCTGTTACCTCCAGGGAAGGGTACAGAACAAAGAAACAGCAATGAGACCTTTCTATGAATGTCCACTCAACAGCAGAACTCAGTTTTACTGTCATCACCACTGTAAATCAACCTAGTATAATCCCTTAAATTCTGAAAAGGAGTCATGAGGGAAATTACACTAAATAGACCCTATGGTCTTTATCTCACATAAAAATCCACTGCCAGCTAGGTGGTGGTGGCTCATGCTTTTAATCCCAGTCCTCGGGAAGCGGAGGCAGGCAGATCTCTGTGAGTTCAAGGCCAGTCTGGTCTACAGCGTGAGTTCCAGGACAGCCATGGATGTTACACAGAGAAACCCTGTCTCAAAAAACCAACTCCCTCCTCCACTGTGACTAGAAAGTGATGTC